CCACCCACCAGCAATCTCCTCTTCAATTAGAGTGAAGGAAATTGGAAAAATGTTATTGTTGCCATCTTGTGCAACTTCCATGAGTAACGCTCATTTATGTTTCCCGTACAACAATGTTCCATCTATTTGAATAATAGCTTTGTAGAACACAAAACTTTTGATGCATAGTTTATACACCAAGAAGAATCGGTGGAGTATTCCATTTCCACTAACACAAGTTTTGTCTGGGGTATATGCCGACAGTGTCTCCAAAATAGCAGCAGTCTTCGAAGCATAATGCTTAAGTGCCATATGATATTGAGGAAGTTATTTGGGTGCCTCTTTGTTTGAAGACATATCAAGGGGTCAAGGTATCAATCTAAAGTATCTTACACAATACTATTCAAATATGATATTAACCGAAGAATTGACCGAGGATGAAAAAATAATTAAAACTTGGTGTTATGTTATGTTACTATTTGGTAATTTTTTATTTTCTAAAACTATTGGTAATACGATAAATATTATGTATTTTCCTTTTTTAAGAAACATAAATAAAATAGGAACATTTGGTTGGGGTTCAACTGTTTTGTCACATCTATATAGTTCTTTTGTGTAAAAATGCACAAAAGGGTACTTGTTTGTTTTATTCTTGCGCTTTTTTTACTCCAAGCATGGGGTTGGTCGAGAATGTCGTTACTTGTCCCCGTCAATGAGAACAACTTCACATTCCCCAATACAACAAAACAAGTTTATCTCATTATTACAACTTGCTTACTTTATACTACAACTAATTGTAAATAATTTATTTTCACTTTTTTCGGTTTAGGTGTATGTTCTAGGAATGAACTACAATAAATGTCCTAAACGCGCTATAATAGTCTATCAAAGTCTTATAGATCACCCTGAACCAGACGATGTATTACAACTAAACAACTCATCATCTCGTTAATTTAGTTTTAATATTACTAATTTATAAATCTTCTAATAATATATTTTTCCTATACAATTTATCTAGAGGCCATATCTGGGCCTCGACCATGATATTAACTCCCGAAGATGTTGTAGTTTGGACTTCACAATAACATTAACAATTATTAACAAATTTTGAGATAAGCTTGATAGAAAAGTTGAAGTCAGAATAACACATCAGGCCTTTCATACCAAGTTCCTAGTCCATACATAAAGCATGATATACCTATATCACCTCATCATGAATGATGTTGGAATAACTAATATTACCTGCAAAACCGTGAACTCAAGCACCATCAACATTTCAAATCAATCCACTGAAACCCGAGATGTATGGTTTATCGAGGCTACTGCCATCAACATTCAAAATCATATTACTACCTTTGTGTTCATTCCACATGATCGCTCTCGTTGGATGAAACAAATTATGCTTGAGAAAACATTTAGTTAACATATTATCATAATTTGCTATGATGAGTTTCAAAGTATAAGAAGATACCACTTAATTTGCAAGACACAATTTATTCCTAGCGCGCCAGAACCACTAGCGAGTAGCCAAAAAGATAGAGCCGCCGTGAATTCCATGTATAATCCAATCATATAAACTATCTCCTTGGAAGAGTAATAGGTCCAAGAAGCTAATAGATTTCCAAAAGCGATTATAAAATCCACAGTTTCTCCGGCAATCTAGATTCATCTCAGCGTCTTGATTGCATCTAGGACATAGATTTGTCTAAAGCATACCACGATGACATAACATCAATCTCTTAGAACGGAATTATGTAAAGTCATCCGAAGGAAGAACTTCACCTTCTCATGAGTAGAATATGCCACACCGACTCCCAATAGTTATTGTATGTTGTATTATGAACAAATCCAAGTCTGTTGATCCAAATATAACCCTCATGAGCAATATAGATACCATATAAATTTCCTTTCTAGGTTAACCGATCAGGCACTAGAGAATTCAAACAAATGGGAAACTCTTTCAGGCGGTCACAAAAAAACCAGAAGAATATTAGTATATGCTAAATTGAAGTTCATTCTCATCAAAGTAAACATCATTCACCCACCTTTCCATATCATAGATATCCATATAGAGGACTTGCTTCGTCAATTTCTCTACCCCAAACCAATTGGAAAACTAGAAAGAGGAGTCCACATCCCTTTATTTAAATTCAAATTCATATTTAAGAGTAGAGAGAGCTTTCATAATTGAATTCTAAGTAATTAATCCCGATTTCTTTTTCGTATTAAGGAACATTACCTCTTTGGTTACTTGTGGTTCAAAACTTAAACCCATAAGGAATCACAATCTCGATGGATACCCCAAATCAACTCACCCAACATAAAAGTTTTGACTTCCCTTGCTTTTCGGATCCTAAGACCACCCGACTTTTTAGGCTTAGTGATTTTATTATAGCGAATGAGATGCATACCCGAGTTTGAATTACCTTTCCACAAGAAAATCCTATCCATCCTATCAATAAAATCATAAGTTTGTTGAGGCACCCAAGCCACATACATATTATAATTTGGGATGAGGTTTAGGACCAACCTAACCAAAGTTAAACACCATTCTTGTTTAACAATTTATGTTGTCAAGATTCTAACGTCTGACTAATTTTCTCCTATAGGAACTTAAAGTCCTTGTGTTGAAAACGACCATGTAACATTGGGGAACTCAAGTATTTATCTAGAGTAAGAGTTTGCTTGATACATGTATTGGATTCAATTAAGTTTGTTTACTCCTATTAGTGGTAGTGGAGAAGAACATCTCTGATTAAGCAACATTTCGTTTAAGACCATAAATCATGACAAAAGGATTAAACATACCATATAATGATCTCTTCCCGGAGTTAGAAACATTCATAAAAAGAAGAACACCATTAGTAAAAAAAATGCGAAGAGGGAGTTCATTACGAGATAACCTTACATGTTTTAAATGGTCTTCATCGACTATCCTAATGATTATCTATGACAAGAATACCATGCAAATAACAAACAAATAAGGTGAAATGGGATCACCTTTTCGTAATCCTCTAGCCGGGACAAAATTTGGTAGTCCTCTCCCATTCTAAAGAATAGACATAAAGGAACTAGTTACCTAGTGCATGATCAAATTTATAGTAATGAGAGGAAACCCATTTCGCTTCAAACAAAATTCGAAGAAATCCCATTTAACATGATCATATGCCTTTTCAAGATTTGTTTTGAACACCATGTCCGTTTTTTTTTTCTCTTGAGATTTACACATAGAATGAATTACTTCTTGAAGGATAATGACATTATCAATTGTCCTTTTACCAGGCAATAAACTACCGTGGAAGGGTCTAACTATCTGATTTAGATAAGGACACAATCTATTACCATAGTCTTCGTAATAAGCTTGTAAATAGTGTTGCACAAGCTAATCAGCCTGAATTTCTTAAAAGTTTTGGAGTAGTTTACCTTAGTAATTAATGTGATTAAAGTCTCAGAAAGAGAGGAGTGAAAGCTTCATGCCATAAAAACATATGATATAAGTTTGAAAAGGTAATCTCTAACTATATGCCAATTTTTTTAAAGAATATACTTTGGATCCATCAAGGCTAGTCCCCTTGAAATGATGCATTTGATTCAATGCAAGTAATTTCTTCCCTCATAACCTGTTGAGTCAAAGAGTGATAAACTTTTTTAGTAAGGATCAAAGGCATAACTTAGTCACCCATACTAACAGGGAGTATATGAGATGTAGGGTAGAAAATTCCTTTAAAAATGTTAGTGGTTCTTCCCTGAGAATAATATCATTATTGCACCAAACACCATTGGGAAGATGACAACCATCAACTTTATTTCTCTTTCGCTTGATTACCGTCTTGGTATGAAAAAATTTGGTGTTTCGATCTCCCAATTTAATCCAACCATCTATAGCCTTTTGATACTAATGAATCTCCTTTTGCGCAAGGATCTCATCATATTCCTGTTGAAACTTCTATTGGAGATAAACTAGTCTTGACGAATCTATTCTCTCTAAAGAGCATTGGATACGATTGATTCTCTTCTCAATCTTGTGTTTTCGTTTGTTGGTATTGCCAAACATTCCCTTATAAAAAAGGACAGAATTGTGTTGCATATTTTGGAGACAAGTTACAATAACATATGAGGATTTCCCCTAAGCAGTCTGGACTATATTAGAGTATTTCAGGTGAGTGATCTAAACTGTCTCGAACCTAAAAGAACGCGACCTATGGTCTTGGAGGGGAAGACCGCACCTAAGAAGAATGAGGTTGTGATCAAAATGAAATTTACACAACACCATAACATATGCATCAGGGAAAGCCATGCGCCAAACAACATCAACCAAAGAATATCCAACTTGTGATAAACCATTCAATTACTTTGACAAGGTCTATTTTAAATGAGTTTTCCACTGTACATATCTACTTTAACAAAATTATATTTATTAATGACATTCATCAAAGCAACAGAATAATTAAAATTTCCTCCTTTTTACTCACTCAAATAAATAATATCGTTAAAATCTCTAATCTCATCAATGTTCCTTTGATTAATAAGGTGAAACCATAGATAAAACAAAAAGTGTCCATAAAATTATCATAAATTCGAGTCATATATCAATTTTTTTCCAATAATAACTTACTAGTAATGATATTCATAAAGAGATTATACACGATGGTTACAATCGAGCTAAAAATTTGTTGTGTCAAAATTATATATATATTTTTAAATTTAATAGAAAATCTAAATAAAATGCCGTGACGTATTTACATTCTAGAAAAGACATGATGTAGTACTTGAGAAAAAAAAGCGTACAAGTTTCGTAAAAAATAAACAACAAAATGAAAATATACATTTACTGATTTGTTAGGGAAACATTGGAATTGAAATTGAAATTGAAATTGGTACTGGCATATAAACAAACACATAGTCCGCACACACAAACATTGCAGAAGCTATAGCAGCAACTCGAGTTTTCAAGAACCTTTCTTCTTCTCTTCCTCTTAGATTCATTCATTTCATTCATTCCCAATTCACAGCGAAATACAATGACAAGGGGCAAGAAGAAAGGACGCGGAAATCCGAATTACGGTCGGAATCCCAAGGTCGAGGAAAGTACAAGGATTCGCCTAACTCAAGCTTTGGAACAGTTTCAAACTTCCAATGACGAAGGTTATGCTCATTCTTTAACTTTAACTTTTCAATTGTAATTCTTTTTTGGTGTTCTTGGTCATTTTTGAATAGTTCTGAGAAATTAGGTGTTTCGTTTGGGTTGGAAATTTGCATTTAAGGTGTATGTTTTTATTGTTCAAGTTTGATATTTTTTTAAGCTAATGAATGAGGATATTTAGGTTTTGAATTTGATTTTAGCCCATGCAAATCTATATATTTAGTTTTTTGGTTTTAGTTTCTGTAAAAGTTTAGTTTTGTTTTCAGAGTTTGCAAATTTACTTTTGCTATTAGTGGTGATTTGTTTTGGTTACGTTAAAATCTGATCATATTGAAATGAGTTGTTATAATGTTCATTATAGTCTTATTTTGAGGGAATAAAATCAAACAAACATATTACGGGGTCAATTTCAATGTGAGAAGACCTGTAGAGAGAAGACATGTAGATTTTGTGGTAATGAGAGTAGATCGGAAGGAGAGGAGTCAAACAGTTAGAGGTAGAGGAAGACCTAAAAAACTATAAGAGAATTTATGAAGAAAGATCTTAAGATTAACGATTTGGATAGAAGTATGAGCCTGAATAAAACATTATGGCGGGAGTCGATCTATGTAGCCGACCCCATTTAGTGGGATAAGGCTTGATTGTTGTTGTTGTAAAACAAAACAGCTAGGACCAAAATCAATAATTAATATATTTGCAAGGACTAAAAATAACATAATATTTTTATTGGGATTGAATCGAAAATCTCTTTTGCAGAGACTATTTGGATATTTTTTTCAAAAGAATTGAGGAAGAGGGGTTATTATTAATAATGTTAATGCTACTGACTATTTTATCACAGTTCCGGGTGGAATTTGAAACATAGTATTGCTAAATATTACAAAGTCAAACTTTTATCACCATTTGCATATTTAAGCCAAATATTCATTGGAAGCATGATTTTTGCATGACTTTATCCATTTATGAAACTGGGTTGTTTCTTTTGTTGTTAACTGCAGTTTACAAGTTTGAAGCTGGTTTGTCCAACGAAGACCGCCGTTATGTGCATCAAATGGCCCAAAAAATGGGGTTTAAATCTAAAAGTCAAGGGTGAGTGAGTGCTAAGGACAGCACAATTATTCAATGGAATAATTGGTAATGGAAGAATGTGTTTGGTTCAATTTTACATGTTGTGTTGTTGATATTGAACCTGGCCTTTTTTATAGAAATGGGAAGGAAAGGAGACTGTCAATTCGAAAAGTCACTAAGAAGGGTGAGAATGATAATCAGTTTGGGAATCTTCCTCTTTTCACATTTTCAGAAGAGTCAAAACGAGCACTGGGTGAACTATTTGCGCATTTTCCACCTGGTGATGGAAACTTGAAGGATATTGTTGGAGAAAATAGTGGTAGGACTGATAACACAAGACATAAGGCAGCTGATATTTTTAGCCGGCCCTCTATGACCAAAGATGAAATTACTCGGAAATTAGACACCCTAACTTCTAGAAGAGAGAGTGCATCTGATTTGAAAGAGGTCCACTTTTTCCCCTCTCCGTTGAACTTCAAAGACCTCGTATATATGAGTTTTGTTGGAATGATGCTGCATTGTTGTAGTTCCTTTTTCTGTAGTATGTGTAGTGTAGCACTTGCAAAAGTATAGTTTCATTATTGAATCGTTTATTTGATTTCCATTCATGCAGATCACTGAGTTGAGATCTAAGCTACCGATTGCATCTTACAAGGATATAATCACATCAACAGTGGATTCTCACCAGGTTGATTTTATATTTTTCTTTGCGAATGTGTCTTTGAACATGTATCTACATGGTAGCTTGGTTAAAGATTGTACTGTATTCAAGTTTGTTTGATATCAAATTCACATGTTAAATATGTCTGAACACGATTTAGAAAGATTTCTGTTGTTACTCCAATTTCAACACTCTAAGATTGAATATTTGCATATATTTTGATCTTAATATTCCTTGCATATGTTTCAAAACAGGTAGTTCTCATATCTGGCGAAACTGGTTGTGGAAAGACTACACAGGTTACCAATTCTTTGCTTTGCCTTTATTATGGTAGAACTTCATATAATATAATTTGTCAGCAACTGTTTCAAAATGATCAATTATTTAGCAATATGTTGTTTCAATGATTGTGCATGCTTCTGATATGAATTTGTCCCCCTTTTTCCTTGAATTTTTTTTTATTAATTGTGTTCCCACTTTTAATTCCCCCCCTCCTCCTCAATTAATTGTCTCTAGCTTTGGTAGTTGAGGATAAACTGATGATTTCTTGATCCTTTGGGATTTTGGGTTTATCCCACAAGTACTCCCATCATTGTATATGGACCAAGATCATTTGATAGTTTTCTATGCATGGTGTAATATCCTGTTAGTGAGTTTGTACCTGTTACCTTAATAATTAATGTTAAAAATAATTCAGGTCCCACAATATATATTGGATCATATGTGGGGTAAAGGTGAGGCATGTAAGATACTTTGCACTCAGCCTCGACGTATCTCTGCAATGTCAGGTGTGAAGCTCTTCCAAACTTCAATTTTCTTGATGTTCCTGTTTCAGTATAAATTGAAATTTGTTTACTTCTACCTTTTATATGTCTAGTTTCGGAGAGAATCTCCAGAGAGAGAGGAGAGATTGCTGGAGAAAATGTTGGATACAAGGTAATTTTATTTGTGTATTTTGTCGCAACGGTGCTGTGATCCTTTGCTCATATTATTTTTTTGTTAGAAATATTTGTTGAAAATTGAGCATTGTTAACTTGTTATCATCACCAAACCAATTTCTCTCAGTCACATGATAAAAATACATAATGCACCTAACACTATATTATTGATACCAGGGAATAGATTTATAATTATTCATTAGTCTCTGCTATGATTTTTCCCACTACCAAGCATTCAATCCACAAATTTCTTTTCTTTTCTCCATCTCATTTTTTTATATATAGAATTATTATGACTTTTGGTCCTTCAGCATTCAATAACTTATAATAAAGCTAGTTCCTTTCCAAGCATTGGTCACCTTGCTTCTTAGCAAAGCATTACTAGCTTTTCTAGTGTTTTACATGTCTTACATATATTTATATGGCTTATATTTTATATCAACTGTTGAAGACATGGAAATATTGACAGCTTCATATAATGTTAGAGTTAGTGCCTTAAATCATTTCATAGGCTTAGTTTCTTAATTTAGGGTATCTATTAAGATTAATTTTCACATGACTCGGTTATTATTGAGAAAAACAAGGTCCCAAACAGTAATCATTATTCAAAGTCTTTATTCTTTCTCTTCCATTTTATCTAATATCTTATACCTTAAAAATTAACAATCCAGATACGTTTAGAAAGCAAAGGTGGAAAGCAATCATCTATTGTGCTATGTACTACTGGAGTTCTATTAAGGGTGTTGGTTTCTAAAGGTTCTCGTCGCTCTAAGATGAAACATGTGAAGGATGAAATTTCTGACATTACTCACATCATTATGGTATTTTTAAATTGTTTTTTATCCTCTGTTAAATCAAAAACATATTGTATTAATCTTGGGTAAATATTTAAGTTCATGTTTCTCCTATACCATGCTTATTAATTTGAGTTATTCGGGTGGTCACAAAAATTGGTTGTTAGCTTTAACTTATATGTTCTAAGATGCATTTTATTAATTGAAAGTTTGAATTGGCTGGGAAAATCTATTAGATGTTGGATGTTATTTCAATTTATTTATTTATTTATTTTTTTGTAAATTAGATTCAGAGCTGCATCTTCAATCTCATCATTTATGGAAATTTGACTTGAGCTTTGAATAGGTTCCATTTTTGTTTGAATGGAATGACAATGCCATAGCTTGTCGATGTCATGATAACTTCTTTTGTCATTTTATGAAAGATGGTGAAAGTAGCAAATCTTTATATTATTTAATTCTACAATTTAAAAAGTTATCACTGACATTGGTGTTTGTATTGCATAATGCTGGATATTTCACGTAAAGAAAATTTGCAAAGTAGTAGTGACTACGATTGTATGGACCCAAAGCATAGTCCAATTAAACTAAGTCCCTGCTTGGACTAGCTTATTTGAACTAATCTATTGACATAAGCACTTATGAGACTATTTGAGAGAACTTGTAGAAACAACTTATGACATGTTTATACAAAGTTGTTGGTACCGGGTTCTATCCCTGACAACAACAATTCTCATAATGCATTAATGTAAGCAAGTTGTTGATACTTATAAATCAACAACTTAATTAAAAAAACTTATGACATGTTGTTTTCAACTTATTTTCATTAGCTATGTTCCCTCTCACACACCTCATATAATCCACTCACGTGTAACTTCCCCCATTCTCTCTAACCAACTTCCCCCACTCTTTCTATAACAAACTTGCCACACATAATTCCCCCTATCCATTTGGGCCTTTTTCCTAAGGGTCCCATCACTTATCTAAACATGACCTGGTTTTTAGATGGTTTATGGAGTAACGGTCGTCATATCCACAAACATATGTGATGATAGTTGTATTATCTTGACGAGAAATGTATTTTGAATGTTTCATTTGTTCTCTTAAAGACTTCGTTGTGACTAGTAAGAACTAAGTAGTGAATTGAAACATTTTCATACACCTTATATCTTCACGAATCTTGGTATATGTGAAGCATGAAATGTGCATCCTTACTTAATGTGCATTGCAAACTGAGGTGACACTCACTTGTTGTTCAGGACGAAATTCATGAAAGGGACCGATATTCAGACTTCATGTTGGCAATACTCAGGTATAAGTTTGTGAAGAACATATTACCCTTTCCTTTTTAGAGTGATGTAATAATTAGATAGAAATGTATAAACGGCCGTTGCATAAGAAAGCATAAGATTGGGTTGTTGTCCAAAGATGATTTGCATCTAATAGCATAATCTTTAGGATAAGTTTATCGTTCACGAGCACAAGATTTGTTTTTGCCCAATGTTGTGGCAATAGCTTACTGTTATATTTAATCCCCCCTCCCAAAGGAAAAAACATTTTATGTGAGATCATTTGTCTAAGATGTTTGTCTGGTTTTCTGACTAATGTTTCTGATTTTTGATAACTTATATGCAGAGACATCCTCCCTTCATATCCTCATTTACGTCTGGTCAGTTTATACTATTACATTTGTAGTTTTGTTTCTCTATTTTTCTTTCTTCTTTTCAATTACTTTTTTCAAATCATATAGTTATTTTTCGCATTTTGGCCCATATTTTAAATCTTTATTTGTTTATTGATGTTAGATATTAATGAGTGCAACCATTGATACTGCAAGATTTTCTCAATATTTTGGGGGCTGCCCAATTATCCAAGTTCCAGGGTTCACTTATCCGGTACTGATAAGACTAGATAGAGAATCGACTAATTATTTTTGTTCCATATGTTTACTACAATGTCTGCTCGTTATTTCTTCAGGTCAAAACTTATTATCTGGAAGATGTACTTTCTGCTGTAAAGTCAAACAAGGGTGATAGTTCCACATTTAGTATTCCAACAAGCAATCACAAGCTAAGTGAAGAACACAAGCATTCTTTCGATGAAGCTATAAATTTGGCTTGGTCTAACGATGAGTGGGACCTACTGTTAGAGTTTGTTTCTTCTGAAGGAACCCCAGAACTCTTTAATTATCAGCATTCTTTAACCGGCCTTACACCGTTAATGGTGTTTGCTGGAAGAGGTAGAGTTGGTGAAATGTGCATGCTATTATCTTTTGGGGCAGATTGCAATTTAAAGGCCAAAGATGGAACAAGTGCACTAGAGATTGCGGAAAGAGAGAACCAACCAGAAGCAGCTGAAATACTAAAAAAGCACCTGGATGGTTCCAACTCCACGGATGAGCAGAGTTTACTTAATAAATATCTTGAAACAGTCAAACCTGAACTTGTTGATGTTGTTCTGATAGAGCAGCTGATAAAAAAAATATGTTCCGAATCAAAGGATGGAGGCATCCTTGTTTTTCTTCCAGGGTGGGATGATATAAACAAAGCGCGTGAAAAATTGCATGCATCCTCTTTTTTCAAGAATCCTTCAAAATTTGTGGTCATATCTCTGCATTCAATGGTTCCATCTCTGGAGCAAAAAAAGGTTTTTAAGCGCCCACCTCCTGGCTGCCGCAAAATCGTTCTGTCAACTAATATTGCTGAAACAGCAGTCACCATTGATGATATAGTGTATGTCATAGACTCTGGACGAATGAAGGAAAAGAGTTATGATCCTTATAATAATGTCTCAACTCTTCAATCATCTTGGATTTCAAAAGCAAGTGCTAAGCAACGAGAGGGGCGTGCTGGCCGTTGTCAACCTGGAGTTTGTTATCATTTGTATTCGAAGCTTCGAGCAGCTGCGTTGCCTGACTTTCAGATTCCAGAACTTAAGAGAATGCCTATCGAGGAGCTATGTCTGCAGGTGTTCATCTTCCCTAATCTGTGTCTCAAAATTATGGTGCTTTTTAATATTATATACTCCATGATAAAATGGTAAAAGTGTAGTTGAATAACTGTGAACATGGAAAGTTTAGCTACTTAATGCTAAATCATGGAATTCACTCTAGTTCCACTAGTCTCTCTATTTTGCATATCTTTGAAGATCTCTTTCTTTTATATGTTTGTTATATTTGAAATTATAACAATAACATGTAGTTTGTTATATTTGAAATTGCAACAAACATAACATTAAGTTTTGTTAATTGGAAAAATTGGGAAAATGGAATTGGTTTCTAAGATAGCTTAGATTATATAATTTAATGTAAATGAATTGGTTTTGTATAAAAAATACCATAATTTTCCTGGCTCTAATTTTGGTTCCTATTGCTTCGCTTTTAACAGGTAAAGATGCTTGATTCAAGCAGCAAAATAGAAGTGTTTCTTGCCAAGACATTAGATCCACCAGTGTCTGAGTCCATACGTAATGCTATTGTAGTCCTTCGCGATATTGGGGCATTGTCAGCTGATGAAACGCTCACTGATCTCGGAGAGAAGCTTGGTTCTCTCCCTGTTCACCCAGTAATTAGCAGGATGCTGTTTTTTGCTATATTAATGAACTGCCTTGACCCAGCTTTGACTCTAGCATGCGCATCTGATTATAAAGATCCATTTACACTTCCAATGTTACCTGAAGACAAGAAGAGAGCCGCAGAGGCCAAATCCGAGCTCGCTTCTTTATATGGGGGATGTGGTGATCAGCTTGCTGTACTAGCTGCATTTGAATGCTGGAACAATTCGAAAAAAATGGGTCTGGAAGCACGGTTTTGTTCGCAGTATTATGTGTCTGGAGGTGCCATGAAAATGTTATCTGGCATGCGTATGCAGCTCCAAACAGAACTTATCCGAATTGGATTTATTCCTTCAGATGTTTCAAGTTACAGCATGAATGCATATGATCCTGGTGTGCTGCATGCGGTTTTGTTATCGGGTATGTATCCAATGGTTGGGAGATTATGTTTTCCAAATAAAGGTGCAAAGAGGGCTATTATCGAAACTGCTAGCGGTGATAAAATTCGCCTGCACAACCGTTCCACAAATTTTAAGCTGTCGTTCAAGAGAAATTTAGGTCAGGCTTTAGTTGTGTTTGATGAGGTTACTCGCGGTGATATGGGTATAAACATAAGGAATTGCAGTCTTGTTGGACAACTTCCACTCTTGCTGCTTTCAACTGAGATTGCTGTTGCTCCAGGAGAAGAGGATGGTCATAGGAAGGAGGAAGAGGAGGAGGAAGGAGAGGATTACGACGATGAAGGGAGTGGAGATGATGGGATGGAGTTGGATACTGAGCCCAGTGAAAAAAACCAGGATAAGTTCATGTCTTCCCCTGATAACATTGTTAGAATAATTGTGGACCGTTGGCTTTATTTTGGTTCAACAGCAATTGATGTTTCTCTGCTATACTGCTTGAGAGAGCGATTATCAGCAGCAATTTTATACAAAGTAACAAACCTATTTTTACTTCTTTAGTTTTCTTTGTATTTTACACTTGTGCCAAAGCCATGTCATTCCTTTTCTTGTAATATGTCATGACAGATAAATTCACATTTTCAGGTAACACATCCGAGGAATCCTCTTCCTCCCATCCTAGGGGCTTCTATGCACACTATAGCTTGCATTCTATCTTGTGATGGCTGTTCTGGCATGACAGTGCCAGCCGATGGCATGGACAAACTGACCAGTATGGTAATTGCGACGAATCTAGGGAAGCCACCAACATTGGCACAGCCAACACGGTCACAGCGCTATGGTAATAGACCAAAAGGATCCTCTGCAGAATTTATAAATCATGGTGGATTCCAGAACGGTGGACCTTCTAAAGCCAGCACATCTACTTCGAGCAACATTGGAAATCCAAGTGGGATCAATTCCCAACATCTCCCCCATTTCACTTGATTATGGTTCAATGGAAGTTAATGATCATTTTCTAAAATTTTGATTTGATGTTTAGTGATGAGAATGAACTTTTACTAGAAAGTATGTAACATTTATTGCATTCAGCTTATATAGAAAGCCAATCCTGGCAGTGAAGAATTAGGTGTTTATTTAGGTCTATACACGATTCAAATCTTAAAGTTTCAGTCTGGCGATGGCCCTTTTCTTCATCTTTCAAACATCCCTGTGTCTCAATTCATGTTTCAGTGTGTGTTGATGCTCGGATCTGCTCAAGTTTTTATAAAACTAACCATCAAGACAACAAAATTGGAGCTCCAAAACTTCTTGTGTTCCTCTCTTCTAACATAAATTGAAAAATACATAAAATTTGGTTCTGCTAAAAGCAACACCACAATTTTCAGGTGCTTGTCCTGTAACTCATTATGAGCTAATGTAATGGATTCTGCCAATATTGATGAATCATTAAGTGATTTTGGTTCATAAGTTTTATGGATTGTAAAAGGCCAATATAAAAAATAGCCATCCTCGACTCTTGTAAAAGAAATTCAGTGAGATATGAATTCTTACAATGAAATATATAATATACAATACAAGATGAACCAAATATTGTAAAATCAAAAATTAACATGAGTGAATTATATCCTCAGTGTGCAAGGCTTAGATCCTGTCTCTAAGCTGAACAAACTATAGTACATTAATACATCAGGCATGGACAATTCCACCCAGATATCTAGGGTGTCACTGACAGTAATAAACATGGGATCTATAAGCAGCTTCTGCATGTCATTGAAGGATTGGTTTTTCTGGAGAAACTGCTTTCTGCCGAGGAACGTGAGAAATATGTCAATTGTTCAACAACCTGTTAACGTCTCCATAGAACAAAAGCAACCAAGAAAATGATAGTCAATATCATCCCCATATATTTGATCCATTGATCCACACGGTTACGTCTTTCAATTAGCCTCAAAACACGGTTTGATATCCCAACTGTATTGAGAACATCCAATGCTTTTCTCTGGGCACTCTGCACAAAGATGACAGTCATAAGTGATTGGCATGTCAGCAACAAAACCAAAAGTAACAACAATACTAATTAAACTTAGAATGAAGAGAAACATAAAAAAAAAAAACTTCCAAGTTATTTTATAATTTAAAAACAGAAACTGCAACTAAAAACACCAAAACCAACAAAACTGAAGAAAAACATAACTAATAAAAATTATGCGAGGAGAGTAAATCATGCATGTCACACGAGGAACCTACTGTTATGAGATTTTGTGATTAGTTGTTTATTTGAATGGAAGGTTAATAAATGCTGCAGCAAAAAATATTCATTGTTGAAAGAAAAGAAGGTATCGGAGGAGCTAGTGGCTGTTTGAAACCGCCGTAGCCCCCCCTTGAAAGTGGCTGTTTGAAACCGCCGTAGCCCCCCCTTGAAAGTGAGGTCATCTAGAAGCTTGCGTTGGACAATGATTGTGCCAAGCAGTTTCAAACATGTTTAACTTGTCATAACTTTAGAAATCAGAGCAGGCCAAAACAAAGTAAAGCAAATGTCTGAGAGACAGAAAACAGCGATATCACCAGCATAGCTTCTTTAGCAATTGCAGTTTAATTTTTCTGGAAAGGGCCACTTACTGCCATCCCTAACCCCCAAAAATAACAAACATAAAACATGATCCACCATTCGCAATTTAGAAGACATGACATAATAGGTAAACCTAAACAATAGCATAATGGTAGTTATTGTCCAATACTAATCAATTCAAACTATTAAACATATACTAGTTTGTTCCTTAGTGAAAGCAGAAAATGGGAAAAATACCTTCAATCGTTCCCTTTGTCCATGAATAGATGAAAGTATAGTTTCCCCAAGTGCATTAGCATTTTCCAATTCACGAGCAGAACTGCGAACTGACTGCATCGCTTGCGCCTCTTCATCATAAATCCTCATAACATGGCTAGAATCCCCATTCTGTTACACCATAATCAACAACAAAAATCATGATTTGGCAAAGAAAAAATAAAACAGTGAATCACTAAACAGCAATCACATACAGCTCTTCCCAGAAGCTCTGTTCTCTCTTTAGCTTCCATCATTCGTTTATGATTCCTTGAGTTGTATTTCTCCAAACTCTCTTTTAACGACTCAGCCTCTTCAGCTATTTGTTCTAATTTCCTACACCAAAAAGCATCACAATTATAACATATGATGCATAGGTACACGTATGGTATCCGGTGCGGGTACCGGTATCGGTACGAGATACGGCATTTTAAAATAAAAAAGGTACGGGTACGCTAATAAAAAATAAAAGTTTTTTATAAAATGTATAAGTAGAGAACTAAATTGTTAGGTTCACAACAAAACATCACTATAAAAATTTTAAAAATAAAAAAGATAATGTTAAAATATAATAAGGAAGAAATTAAAATATATAACTATACTATATTGATATTTGAGAAAACATATTTCACTTGAAACAAAATAATGAGAAAAAATGAAGTACCACGAGTACGGTACGTGTACCCGGTACCAGTACTTCACCATTTTAAAAGCACCCATGCTTCGGAGATTATAACACAAAGAGTCCAACAACTAGAACAAAATGCCAATCTTATAAAAACAGCTATGAAGCATTGACACACAAACATCAGAACTTAAGAAATTGAAGTAATTCAGTGTATGTTTGGTTTAGCTTCTGGAAGAGGCAAAAGCAATACTAGACGTGTATAATTGATTTTAGAATGATTTTGAGGTGTTTGATTTTTCTTAAGTAGAATTAATTATGCCTCCAGTATTGATTCTACTTCAACTTAGAATTTATAGCTTTTGAGTTTAAACATGATTTTTACCTTAAAACTCAATTTTGCATAAAGTTAATCAACTATAAATCACTTTACAATCAACTCACCTTTAACCCGAATCAATTTTTCAAAATCAAATTATTTTTTCAGCTCAGAACCAAAAATAAGCTAATGTAGGAAGACACTGCCTAGAAAAATAGTTACTGCACCATACAGTTTCTCAATTTCGCTACCAAATATTGAGTTTAGTACAAGATTATACACTGTTAATTCAATACCCTTGTAATTTAACAAAACTCAAGAACCAAAAATACATCTAAAACCTATAACGAATTGAAACAAGGGTATCACAATTATCAAAAGTAAAACCTAACAAAAATGAAGATTTCAGTTAAAATTCCGTTAAGATTATTGATCGATCAAGAAACAAAGACAGAGTGATGGAAATAGCGAAAGATGAGTGAACCTTTTCCAGAGATCACGTTGAGATTTGACGGAAATAGATCGTGAGAGGCGATTCATCTCGACGCAGAGGGATTGGATCTGAGTAATGTCTTTGCTTATGGCGAAGGAGAGATCGGAAGATGAGGAGGAGGAGTTGGAATACTCCAGGCGCTCGAGACGTTCGAGGCCGTCGCGTGTTTTGAGCAACAGCTTTCTCGCGGTTTGGTGAACCTCCGATAGGGTTCCTCCGCCTCCTTCCATGGCGGTTATCGGAGCTTCTAAACGGAGTTCAGTTTCGGAAACAAAACGGGTAACGATCGGGTCGCTCGAGTGTATTGGATAGTGTAAGCGAGGAAGATATTAATTGTTTTGATATTTTTTTTTATTGAGTAGAAAATAATTTTTAAAATTGTAAGTATGTATCAAATTAATCTCTTATTTTTTTATTTTTTTTTTGAGTTTATTGCATATACATTGATGAATTTAAATGAAACACACACGTATTGATTAACTAATTTGGAGATACATTTCTATAATATTTTAAAATATACATTATAAATTTCACTCTGAATGACATTTTACAAATGTATTGTTTTAGAGATGCATCTCTATTTAGGATTTACGTATATGCATCTTCGTACTTTATCAGAACAATGTAGGTTATGTTTGTTTTATAGTTATGCATATGAAATTCATGATTTATAAATGTTAAGAGCCCTCTTATGTGATGAGATTTAAACTATACAACGATGTGCAAAAAATGACATATAAATCCAAATAGTCCAAAAATGACATATATAAATAAAGTCGAAATACACGATAAAGTAGAATGAATTGGAAATAAAATACAATTCATAATGAATCAAAAGTACAATCAATATATACTATTGCGTATGATGAACTACAATTCCTCTAGCTCCTTGTGCTCATTGGCGTCCACCACCCCCTTCCTCCGATGTTGTCTACTGTACAATAGTGCATCTTGTGCCTCCATCATAATGGCATCTAGAACTGCCTCACCTCAGACCAATCAGAAAAGATACTTTTGTCAATGTCTTCCAGCGCAATCTCTACAATGCAACGACATCTAGGCAAGACATCATGAGCATGATCAAATTGTGACTACTCCTCCTTAGTATCTCTTGATGAGCTGGTCTCGGTGGATCTCCTAGAACAGTCTGCATCATATACAAATATGATACTCTGAAGAACCGCCTGATGCACCCGTTGAAATACCTCCAATTGCTCTTAGCTATGGTACTCCGTGCCTCATTCGATACCAGATGAATAAGATAATCATCAAACATGGCATCCATCTCTCTACGTGTCATAACAAGGGGAGAAGAGTCAGTCAGGTGACTGGGAATAGTCTAAGTGTAACCGAACTACCACATTACGCGCTCAGGAAAATGAGGAAATGTGAGACGTGAGCCGCAAGCCAATCATCCAGAGTATAACAATATGTCGTCAAATGGTCGCGTCTCACGGTGATCGACATTGTTGAACTGCATATCGTCGACAACCAAGCAGTCAAGATACACTCTGAACAAATCTATCACCTGGTTCCTTCTGAGTGGGGAAAATACAGAAGCATGCAACATATCCGTAGTGTAAGCCGGTACACACGACCAACCTGAGATGGGCAGGAAGTGCTGGAAAATCCAAGCCTGAAAAGTGTCGGACACACGAATCACCAGTAAGGGTGTTGCAAAAATGTAATGAAAATGACACAAAAACATTAAAAGAACAATAAATATTGTCGTTAGTAGTGTGATGTTGTTTGTGACCAGCTGCATCTTCCACATAGGTGCCATCTGATAACTTTGAGTACAACTAGACCAAACAAGTGCCCCCAATTGTACTAATGAATCCGCTCGAAGTCCTCAAAGTATTGTAGGTAGACGACAGATACCCTGTCTCCCCATGTGATAAACTATTTTGTCCTAACTTTAAGCAAAAGTATATTACATACATAATGATAGGGCTATAATAATAACATTAACAAACATAAGGCAAGTAGCCACTTAATATTACAAAAAGAGGAAATTATAACAGGGTCGAAGTAGGAGAAACTACTCGCCATCCACAATCGACCATGTTGAACCACCTAAAAGGGATCTTTCTAGCAAGTCTAGGTTGAGATAAAAGAAATCAGCCTGCCTTTATGCCTTTTCAAAATGTTGGGTGGAAGTATCCACAATCTCATCCTTAAGGGACGAGGCTATATCCTCCAAGCTATCCTTGGTAGTAGGAGCTTCTTTAAGCGATTGCTTTAGGCGTTGCACCTCTTCAAACTAGGAAAAGACCAGAGTAGCGATTTTCATGGCGCGATCCCTCTTAACATCCAAATTTTCTCTCAGTGCCTTTATTGTCACCCCGCCTTCTTAAACACTTCTCATATCATATTCATCCTAAAACAAGAATGTTTCTCCCTCTGAGCTTTCCCTACTATAAGTCACCATAAAAGTTAGACCCCTAGTAGGTTCGATAGATCAAAAGAAGATGGGCCAAGATGTGACTAGTAATCAGCATAAAAGCTCTCTGAAAGGAAGAGTGGTGATCAGAGAAATCCTTAGAGAAGGTGCAGGAGGCGCATATCCGCCACCCAATTTCTTTCCCATTTCTACTGCTTGGTAGCTTTGTAATGCTCCAAAAGGACCCTCATCCCACCTTGAAATATCAGGAAGGTGAGACTCACCAGCCCAGGATGTTTCACACCTCTACTTTCCTCCATCAATAGTTTATCCTTAGGGATGTGCAGAGGCAAACCTAAACATTGGTGTGTAGCGTGCATCCAAACAAACACTCTCTCCTCTTATCAAGAGAGGTTTCAGCCATATCATATGTAAAGAAGGAAAAAGAAATACTATAAGTACATACAAAGATGATAAGTATGATATCAAATAAAAATTTATTCTTCCGTAAAGCTTACTCAAGTATTCCTCTAGCCCATAACCATCTTCGCGGTCCCGAGTGATTAGAATGGAAGAGTCCATAGTCCAGAAGCATTTCAAAATTTGAATCACCTATTTGTTAATAAGGGAAAGAGAATTTTTATCCACCCATTTGATAATTTGAGAATCTGGCATCCACAATAAAAGAAAGAGGGGGACACCTATCGCCCATATGGTCAACAGAGAGGCATCGCCTCACCTTTTTATTCACACAAACCAATCTTTCCATTCCTCATAAGGATTTTCATAGGGTTTCAATAGGCACCTTCTTGGCAAGGAATATAACACTACCCAACCATTATTAGGGAGAATCTTTATACTAAAGAAAGGGAGGAAAAACCAAACAACAGAAGGGATGCCCAGACTATAACATATTATCTAGAAAGCCCTGAGCATATTCCATATGTTGAGGGTGATTTGGGAAGGGGAGACATTAAAATTTGTCAGGTAATCTACATAAAAAAAAGTAAGAGGGATCAAGGTTCCCAAATCGTTAATAACGACTAAATAAAAATAAGTTAAAGGGCATATGACTCACTAGAGGTGCCAATATTGGCTCTAATATCACATCCTCCTCACGCTCGGTACTGGAAAACCTAATGCCACGACGAAACCTATTAACCATGCCGAAATTGGAGTGCAAGGGCGCAATATCTCAAGCATGAATACACTTGATATTCTTCTTACCCATTTTTACTTCATGTATAAAATCAGGGATAACAACGTTTTTTCTATAGAAAATGGAACAAATTTCTCACCCTCATTTCCTCCTCCAAAATTGTTTCAGGTTTATGTGTTTTTCTAAGATGGATAAAAGAAGAGGGGGGAAGAGAAAGAGGTTTTCCAAGGCAGTGTACAAATTTCTTGATAGAAATTCAATATCACAAGATATACAATAACTTCTGAGAGAAGTGGAAAAGTTCTTACACATGGAAGATGCATGTGAGAGAAAAAGGCTAGGTGGATTTCCCAAGGAGGCCATCATGAGTTGCATAAAATATTATTAACACTCTTTTCGACTATAGTACTCAAGCTTTCACAATTGATTGATGTTTTGACGTCTCAAAGTTCTATCAAAAGAAAACTTGACATATCCCAGTAACGATTGGCTATCCAAGAAACATTTAGCCAATAGTGGATACTCGCCTCAAGCTGAGGGACTCACCTCTCATTTAAAAAGGCCGCCTTCAATCGAGGGGCTCACCTCCCATTTAAAAAGGGTGCCTTTAGTTGAGGGACTCATCTCCCACTATAAAAAAAGAACAGTTTCAGCTGACAAACTCGCCCCCCCAGTTGAAGGACTCACCTTCCTTATGAATGGGCCACGTCCAAAGACAAGGGACATACTTCATATTAAAAGGTTCACCATATACCACAAGACAACACTTAAAGTAGGCATTAAAATAATTCACCCTTTTACAACCTCTTGTGCTTAAGGAAATGTGTAGTGTTATATTTTTTAGAGTCCCCAAATAGGGAAGACACCATAGCCCTTGCCTAGTGAGTCATCATCCATGCGCTGTTTTTATGAAGCATATGGTCTTGCCTTTAGAGGATATGACATGTATAATACTGTTATCTTTTCATTAACTATACCAGAACAAGTCAGGCCATGACTCCCTAGTCAACAATTTCCTCCATCAAGAGGGAATGATTACCACTTCTTAGGGTTTTCTAAACCTTAGGCCCAAGAGCCTCTATAAATATCTGACCCTCTAAGGGTAGCAAACAAATCATAACTTAACCAACATATCAAGCATAACACAGAATTTCTCGCCTCACGTGAGTTAACCTCTCATACTAATGTAATCTCCATAATACCACTATACAGAGCTTCTTGTCGCTGCAGGAAAGCCCTAACTATTCTAAAACTAATAAGGCCTATGAGTATCCCTCACTCTTGTAGGAATACCACACACATGTACTTTTTGACGATTACAACTCGGAAACTATTGTAAAATAATCAATAATACCACTATAATTAATAAATATTTCTCTATTTTCTGATTTCATTTTTTAATTATAAATTAAGTCAAAGAAAATCACTTTTTATTAAAAAAAAAGGCAATAGCAATTAACAAAAGTATAAACCAATTTTGAATATTATGGTGGATTAAACAACACATACAATAAATAGAGACCTCTCTCATGAGAGCCTTAACATATTTAAAGTTTATTATGAAAAATAAAATTGATAATTTATTAAACTAAATCGATAAAAGATATTGGCTTATGATCTAAAGATGAAGCGAGAGATGCAAATTCTCATCATCATTTCCATTTGCATCACAATTTTCTATAATCGGA